GGTGTAATTACACCTGCTGCATGTAATTACACCTGCAGCATGTAATTACACCTGCAGCAGTAATTACACCTGCTGCATGTAATTACACCTGCAGCATGTAATTACACCTGCAGCAGTAATTACACCTGCTGCATGTAATTACACCTGCAGCATGTAATTATACCTGCTGCAGTAATTATTACATGCTGCAGGTGTAATTACTGCAGCATGTGTAATTACTGCTGCAGGTGTAATTAGTCATTACATGCAGCAGATGTAATTACATGCAGCAGGTGTAATTACTGCTGCAGGTGTAATTACATGCTGCAGGTGTAATTACATGCAGCAGGTGTAATTACACCTGCAGCATGTTTGTAATTAGCATTTGTAATTACTGTTGCTAATTTGTAATTAGCATTTGTAATTACTGTTGCTAATTTGTAATTAGCATTTGTAATTACTGTAGCAGGTATAATTATACCTGCTACAGTAATTACAAATGCTACAGTAATTACAGCTGCTGTAGTTATTACACGTGCAGCAGTAAAAGTTTGTGCTTGGTTATAGGTATGTAGATGATGTCATTTCCCGGATTGGCCGGATGTTTCCAGATATTACTATTGAGCTGTTCAGACCCAATGGAACATCTGCTGTGCTGCTGGTAAAATAATAAACCATATTTCACTCAGGTGTATTTTCAGAGTTGGTATCAGGTGTGCGTGTTTAGGACAGGTAACAGGTGTGGGGTGTGTTTAGGACAGGTAACAGGTGTGGGGTGTGTTTAGGCCAGGTAACAGGTGTGGGGGGTGTTTAAGACAGGTAACAGGTGTGTGTGGGGGGGGTTTAGGACAGGTAACAGGTGGGGGTGGGGGTGTTTAGGACAGGTAACATGTGGGGGGATTTAGGACAGGTAAAAGGTGGGGGTGTTTAGGACAGGTAACAGGTGTGGGTGGTGATTAGGACAGGTAACAGGTGTGTGGAGGGGTGTTTAGGACAGGTAACAAGTGTGAGTTTGTGTTTAGGACAGGTAACAGATGTGGGGGGTTAGAACAGGTAACAGGTGTGAGAGTGTGTGTTTAGGACAGTTAACAGGTGTGGATGTGTGTTTAG